TATTATATTTAATATATTAATCTTATATTAATCTTATATTATAAGCATTAATACATCAATATCCAACCTACATCCTCTCTCAATTGTAGGATTTCACAAATTCTAAAATATAATAGTTTTTTATTATTTGGGGATTCAATATCCCAAAATTGGTTTTGAAACAAACATGGTTTATGGAATTCTAAAACCCAAAAAACTTGTAATCCACCTTATATTCCAAAAAGAAGTTGAAACAAAAGAGATGATTTCACAAATCCTAAAAATATATTATTTTTTTATAATTTAGGGATTCAATATCCCAAAAAAAAAAAGTGAAACAAACAAAGTTTAAGGAATACTAGGGGTGGGCAAAAACCGAAAAAAACCGGTTCAACCGAAAAAACCGCCCGAAAAAGCGGGCCGGTTAACCGAACCGGATTAACTGGATGAGAAGAAGGCTCTAAACCGCCCGAACCGGATTAAACCGGTTTGGATCCGGTTTGAACCCCTGAACCGCCCGAAAAAACCGAACCGAATTCTCTAATATAAATAGTTAAAAATCCCTAACTCTACCTCCATTTGTCCCACAACACCGCCTCCTCTCTCCAGATATCTTATTTCTCTTGGAGGACTGCAGTTTCTTATTAGGAGGCTAGAACTGGGGAATTTGGAAGAAAAAATATGCATATCTGCTCTCTTGTTATGCTGTACCAAGGCAAATGACTTCTGCAGGAACTACTTGGCGAAAAATATCAGAACATCTAGTGTCCTTGCGCTATTACACTGTAAGCAATTTAGTGCAAGAAGTAATGCAGTTGCATTGCTTATTGAACTAATTTGTCTAAATAGGTCAGTTTGCATTCTTAATTGTTTGACATTTATAACATAAACTTTTTCAAAATAACTTTTATTTGGATGTTGCAGAAGCAATTCATTTATTAGTGGCTTGCATACGAAGGATATCTTAAACACAATGCAAGTACTTCTGTATCTTCAGGGTGCGCGCCCTGAAGAAAGAGTCATCATTGCTGTTCTCCTCTTATATTTTGATCTAATGGTGTGTTTCCATATCTGATACTTCAATGATTTATTTATATTTTCATGCTGTGCTACATTGACCATTTCAACTCTTAGGGAATTATCAAGTTCTTTTCATAATTAAATTGTGTTATGACAATATATGTTGGATGAAATTATTGACAGACAAGATAAAGACAAATTATTTACCAAGTCCAAGATCCATATTTCTTGTTTTCTGAATTTTACTAGTCACAAAGTTATCCGAATTTCGGCCCAAAACCGATCCGGCCCAAAACCAAAATGGAGTTAATTCGGTCCAAAACCGAAACCGATCCGGACCGATCCGAATTTCGGTTGGGCCGAATATTCGGATGAAGTGGGAAAAATCTGGATCTGGATAAGAGTTTTGAGAATCCAAAAAATTCGGATTGGATGCGGATTGGGCATAAAACCGAACCGAACCGAATATGCCCAGCCCTAAGGAATACCAAAACTCAAAAAAGCACTTTTTACATCCCAAAACTTGAAATCCACCCTATATCAAAAAAAAAAAAAAATTGAAACAAACACCCCCCTTACATTCTCAGGTTCCTCCGTCACAACTTACCCCCAACTCTCATCCCATTTGAACCATTTTTGTCTCGAAAATTTTCGAACTCTTCCCCTGGACTCTTTTGCATCTCTTCATCAAAAATCTCCGAATCCACCAAAAAAAAAATAAATCAAAATCGATGGGTCTCATCTCAGGCCTCGTCGACGCCATCATCCTCGTCTTCTCTGCAGTCCTCGCCATTGCCACCCCCTTAATCGACTCGCAAACCATCGTCCCTTCTCATCTCTACCCATCAGCCCTCATTGAGCTCAAGCAATGGTATAGGGATCAGTACGGAGACTATTTGATGCAAGAGGAACCCCATTTCTTTGTTGGGCTTGTTTGGGTTGAGATCTTATTCCTCTGGCCTCTCTGTCTCCTCAACATCTATGGGATCCTCCGCCGCAAGAACTGGGTCAAGACCACCTTGATCATGGCTGGTGTCTGCTCTGCCACTTCTATGGTAAGATTTGATGTTTGCCCATCTCGATAAGATCTGGTATTGGTTTCGATTTTACTTGGATCTGATCTTGGTGATGGGTCTATTTAGTGTCCATTGTTTATCATGATGAATTTTGCTCTCACTTATTTTGATTTAACTTAAGAAATATTGCATATTGTTTTGTTGGCGTACATGATCCGCGCTTAGATTATGAATATATTATGAACGTCCTCAGCTACTTGATGAAAATGCCACCGGAGGAGATCTTTTCCTTGGTGCCCAGATCAGAAAGATCTGATTTTGGAAATGGGTTTATTTATTTTGAGTTTACAAATTGGATGCATTTAGATCTTAGTGTGATTGTTTGTTCTACTGCGGAATTACCCTTTTATGATGAAAAGCGACTCCTATAGATTAGAATTTAGATAAAACACGGCCTTGTTTTTCGTATCGCCTTATCACGTGGTTCCAAAGTTTAAAGTTTAACAATGGAGAATAATTGTCCTTTAGTTAGCTATCTCTCTCTGCCCGATAAACTGAGTCATTGGTTTAAGTGCATTTATCAATTAGTTTCATCGTAACACAGATTATCCAGTTCAGGGAGATGGCATAAAAAGTTTTTTTATTGAGGTTTTCTTTTTGAAGATTAATATTGAGTGGTAGGCGATGTCTTTCTGTCACGGTTTTAGTGACAATCTCTCTGCGTAGATATTTTGAGCAACGAGACATGCTTTGATCATTTATGATTCATTTTGGTAAAATGATCTCACTCATATATGCCTGCATGATTTTGTATATAACTTGCTATGAATGAAATTAGGATGGGTAGTACTGCAGATCCTAAATAGTTAGAATGAGGATAGGTACTTTATTGTATGGATTTGGTTAGTTATGTGCCTATATTATATGATTCTCTTTCTATTTCTAATTTTTATGGGACTCCCCAAAACCTAATGTCAAAGGACTCTTTTGGCTTATAAGGTTATGGGTTTGGTGTTGCCGTGTTGGTCTTTTGGCTGTTTGTTCGATATATGTATTGTTTTTATATTTTCTTATATTTTAGATGCATTGATTTGGTTTCTTTTTCCCTTTTTTTTTGTGTTTGTATGTCTCGTATAATTAGTTCCATTCGTTAATCCCCAAAAACAACACCATCCTTTATTAGGAATTTTCTTTGATGCATTGAGCAACTGTGTTGTTGGATTGTTTAGCAAGTGAGTCAAAGAATGTGCATAGGGGTGCTAAAACGTATCCGTATCCTAATGGATACAGATATGATTACTCAAATCTATAAATGATAGGAATATATGGTTATAGATATGGTTTTGTAGTGATCCGTATCCGAAATATCCGAATACATATTGGTCATATTGTTGCAATAAGTTTAAGCTGTAGATTGAGGTTAATTTTTATGATTAAGATGTCTAATCTTAACTTTTCAGATATAACGAACATATTAATGAACGTTTTTCTATCACATGAACTATATATATATATATATATATATATATATATATATATATATGTTGATGGTTTATATGATCACACAGTTAGTATGTATCCGGGATAGGATAATTTCGATGAGGTAGAGGAGATTGATGAAGGGAACGTCTTCTTCTCTGATTTTATGTCTAATTCTTGAATTAGGGTTGCTGAACAATCTGCACATGTAGAAACTCATAAGAGGACGGGGATTAGTTCTCTCGTTGTACCTCCAACGATCAAGTTAGATGATGAACTTGAGTGAAAGGAAAAGAGCAGAACTTAGAATATCTTTTGTTTTTCATTTTGGCCTTTCCCCTTTCTGAAAGGTGAATAGTACCTGTATATATATTGTGGGAGAATGGTAGATTGGACATTTTGGCCGAGTATGAAGTAGTGATGGCGAGGTATGGGCTGGTGGCTGTGTCAGCATCTATTTTACGAGTGTCGTTGGCGACTGGAGGGAGGATGTCCTCGGTATTAAATGAGAAGAGAGAGGGAGTATGGACTGGTGGTTGTGTCAGCATCCACTTTACGGGTATTGACATGTGACTGGGGGAAAGATCACTTCAGTATTGGAGAGATCGTCTCAGCATCGAATGAAGAGTGATCAGCGGCATATGGTAGAGCCCATGTGATATGACAGGTTTTCGAGCGAAGAGGTGTGGAGTAAATAGGAACATCGCTTCGAATTTCGTGCGAACTGTTTGAGATTTCGAGATGAATCTCACCCGTTTATTTTGAAATATTGCGACCGTTCAGGTAACTCCACGTGCCTCTTTGGGATACTATAAATAGCTCGTTGGAGGCGAAAAAGAACTCTTTAGAAGTTCTTGCTCAAAAAACCTCTAGCGCTTCTCTTGAATATCCATAAGTTTTCCTTGCAAACCAAATTCTTCGATGGCTTCCCCAGCTTCCGTTGCAGGCCGCAATGAGGAGAGGATTGCTCTTCTCCGGCACATCTGCTCGAGGGCCTTGATTGGAGAACTCGAGCACTATTATAATCTTTATGATATCATGAGGGCTTTTACACTAGGGACCCCGAGTATGAGCGAATCGGTGTATTGTCGTGTCGGTGATCACACGCTGCTATACCTGGCTCATTTTGAGTACGGTCTACGTCTACGGCTGCCGCTTCATCCCTTCATTAGGGATGTTTGCACCGCTCTAGGGATTTCCCCCTCTCAATTTACCCCTCATGCCATTGGGGTTCTGGTGGGTTTTATCATTATTTGTCACCGGGTTGGAGTCTCGTCGACCACACGGTTGCTAGGACATATGGTCGGCGTCGAATCGAAGAAAGAGGACCCGCACTACTCTTTCCACTATAGTGGGAATGTTAAGCTTGTGTTAGGTGCTCCAGAGCTCAGCGGGGATTCGAAGGAGCACTTTGTGTGGGTCTTCAGGGCTGATGGTGTTCTCACTTGCCCTAATTGGCCCGAAGTGGCTAAGGATGCGCTGAGGCCGTGTCCTCTTGATGGTGAGGAGAGGCGGCAACTAGCAAAGATGTTCTCGCTTGCCCTAATTGGCCCGAAGTGGCTAAGGATGTGCTGAGGCCGTGCCCTCTTGATGATGAGGAGAGGCGGCAACTAGTAAAGATTTGTTCCTATGTCGGATCCCGGGAGAGGAGAAATCTTTTCGAGACGACATCCCTCCTGTCGGCGGGCGTGTCCATGATTTTGCCCTCTTCGATCGATCAAACAAGGGCAAGTCTGTTAGCTCTCCCTCTTGAAAAAAGCATTAAGGAAAATCTGAGAGAGGAATCAAGCTCGACTTCTCAGAAAAAGTTGAGAGGGGATCTTGATCCTGAAGAGGCGGCCGACTTGAGGTCGAGGGTGGCTGAAGTCGCCGCCCTATTGGCGGAACGGAGGCCGAAGAAGGCCCAAAAGGATCAAGGGTCCAGTGGGCCAAGGGTCAACCTGGATGAGATACAACAATTAGCTGAAGAGTCGCAATCTGTCGAAAGGCGGCAGAGGTCTATCCAAGCTTATCGACCGAATGAGGTCGTCATCGTGGACGCTCCCTTCTCCTGCAACAGAGGGGGTGGCCCCAATTGTCGAGGAGGAAATTGTGGGGGCCCTTGTCGAGAGGACAGTCGGGCCAGTTTTGTGACCGTACAGTTCCGCAGGCCTGACAAGGAGCCTGTCGGGATGTCCGGGGGTGTTGGCGAGCAAACAACGCCTCCGGAAGGACCCGAGTTGGATGAGATGGCGGATGTGCGGAGTAAGTTGTGGCCATTCCGCCATGGGCTCGATGAGCTTACTCACCGATCCTGAGAGAGGGCAAGAACCATGTTGGTGGGAGATCCGTTGATCCCCGGCTCACCTAGGGAATAGCTTACCGAAGGCGACAGGTTTGTCCCGGAGGAACTATGGATGTGGAGTCATCAGTCATGCAGTCCTTAACTATCTCGATCGATGCTGTGTCCCAATTTACCCCCCTGAAGGACAAGAGACTCTTGAGGGAGATGGCTAGCACTGGCATGCATTTGGCCCTTAAGGCCTATTTGGTCTGATGGGTTTTACTGGATGGAGCAGGAGTTGTTCGAGCGGATGAGGCATATACATGAGGCGGCACAGAGATGGCACGCGGAGCTGGCCGATGAAAAGTCGGCCAAGGAAGGGGCAGAGAATGGGATTGCTGTCTTAGAGGTCGAACTTAGAGGCAGGGAGGACGTCTGGCGACGGAAGTTGGACGAAAAGGAGAGGCTTTTGGCGGGCTACAAAATCTAAGTTTTCAAGCACTTGGGTTCTGTTAATGGTCTCCAGCGGGAGGTGGCCCAGTCAAAGGGAGAAGTCGGCCGTCTGCAGTAAGGAATTTCTGAGCGAGATGGTTGACTGACCGTTTTGGCCGGGGAGGTTGAGTCCGAGAGGCGCCTGAAGGCTGTGGCCAAGGAGGACGCTCAATCGAGCCGTCTTTCGGTCGAGCAGCTGAGGCGGGACCTTAAGGAGCAGCCGACTCTTTCGGCGTACGCGACGATTGTCAAGGACTTGGAGGGTCGGCTTGCTCATCTGGAGTTGGCGCAACATAAGAAGGAGGTTGTCGATGAGTGGCGTCATGGCCCTTTAGACAAAACTGATGTAGCATTGGCTTGTAAGGCCGTGGCTTGCAAGGCCGGCGTCGACTATCTCGCTTCGCTGCTCCCCTCCTACTCTCTTCCCCCCTTGATCGTCGTTATCCCCTAGTGTCTCTTGCTGCCTTGATCTCTTGGAGGAGATCGAGGAGAGTGGAGGTGGGATGGATCTGGCGCTGTACGTTGGGGGTGGAGACGAGCCAGAGGATGATCCTGAAGAGAATTCTCCCGCTTCCTCAACTGTTGTCACTGAAGCTCTTGCGGACTACTTTGTTGTCGAGAGCCTCCTAAGTCCAACTCCCGGATCTAGTCGAGAGGTCTAGGGACTTGTATTTGTATTCTCTTTCCGTTATTGTTCTTTTGGCGGCATGACAACCTTGAGGTTGGACGCCTAGGACTTATGTAGATGCATGAGTCTTCAATGTGGCCACAATAGTCGAAAGATAATTGTGGGAGTCTCTTGAGA